TTAATATTATTAAATCGGACGAAACAGAAGTATGAGCCGTACCTCACTTTTTACTACTGACCATCATAAGTATTTTGACAATATTAACTGCGCTATCGCCGTGCTACACTATTCCATCGTATCCAAACTATCAGTAGTATTATATTTGTATTTAATATCTATTTACGTATTAGATTTTGAATTCATAATTAAGCATTGTCCACTTCAGTCTATTTGGGTGGATTTTCAGATAATTATTTCATACTAGGAAGACTAAATTAGTATATTCAATTTAACGACTGTAATAATGAAATTTAATATACATATTTAAAATTATTTTTGGATAAAATAGCTATACAACGATTGCAATAATTGTATATTTTTTATCAACATACTATTTTATAGGTTTCAAAACACTAATTTTTATTTGTTATACCAAATCTTGTTCAATCTCTAACCTCTTAGCAAAAAGTAAAAATTTAATTTAATAATAATAAATTATTATTATAATATTAAGTCTTCCGTAGGACGAACATACACTATGGTTGTATTTATACATTCGAGTCGATCAATTTTTTAATCATTTACTTTAGTTAATAATCTAATTACTTTATTAAATTAATTATAAAATCATCGATGATTAAAATCATAATCCATTGTAAAAAATACGAGTTTAGTGTGCCGTTTGTGTTACATCGTTTTATAAAAACCTATAGTTACTTCTCTTTATTATTTTTAATCACCGATATATATTCGATAGTAAATTTATAGAGTTCGTACCACGCCTAATGTCTCTATAGTAATACAATTAAAAAAATTATAAATTAAAAATTAAAAATAATAAACCATTGAATTGATGCATAAAAAATAGTAGACGTGTAAGTACACCTACTCCTATCTCCTATCATTAGATTTACGATCGACTAATTTTTAAGTTAAATATTATAAGTATACTATATGATTATAAACTATTTTTATGTTTTATATTAATGGCATCTTAAAATAAAAGAATAATGATTTATTAGATATTGTCGAAAGAAATAATTATAACATTTATAAATATATTATAGCAGATCTAGATCATTTCCATACCAGTATTTAGATCACATAACTAACCTCGAAGGCTTGTAGACAAAAACAACTGCTATAGTCCTTGCTATATCATGTAATCGCCGACAAATAAAATAATATATAATAATATGTTATATTAATAACCGTAAAATTAATCTAGATTAATGTGATTTGCGTAGTAAGACATAAACGTACTGATTCGAATCCAGTAACAATGTTGTGTAATACGCTTGCCATGTGCGATATAATAGTAATAATGTAATCTCTAGACAATTTTCTGTACGTTACTCGATGATCTCGAATAGATCCATGTAAATGTTTAGGTCTTACAGATCAATCACCATAAAATCTGTGATCGTGCGTATCACACACTCCATATTCAACTGTGTATTTAATATTTTTTCAACCCATTTACATATAGAAAAGTATTGGTAATTTATTAGTGAATTATGTTTAAAACTGTTTATTAGATGTAATAGCGTGCGATATTTTCTCTGAACCCAAACAGTGGTGTTATTCTTTCTAGTTCTTTCTTTTTTTTTTTTTTTTTGCAAATGTGCAATACGGTAATATATTCGAAACGTTATGGTTTAGTAAGTAGTGTCTGACAGATCGTCTAAAAACCAACCGCAACAGCTATTTTATATGAGTCGCCGATTCTGATGGTTTAAATGGGCTCATCAATAAACACAGTAAATTCGATTCGTTTGTGCATACACCATCTAACAGTGTTCCTATGGATAACGAAACGTACGGTAACCGTGCATAATTCAATTCTCCATTCTCATGTCGACGGTGTCGCCGTGACTAGACTCGCAGTGCAGTGCGCCGGATGTCATAGTTTCGAGTTTCGCGGTCGGAAATACTTTACCTACAGCACGTGCGACTCGTAAGAAAACGCGTGTTGTATACGTATGGTGAAGGCTCGCGATCTGTTCGTATTGTAATATCTATCTCGATGGCTAGACGTTGCAACACGATTAGCGCCGAAAACGGAATTTAAAATCCGTAGCACATACAAATAAGACGACGACGCGTAGGTACGAAATCGCGATCTTTCTAATCGTGAAATCGTGAGCGATCTACGTATGTCGAGACGGTGGTGTGGCAAAGGTATCAATTTTGACCTTCAAAATTTGGTGGTGGATCGGTGAGTACTGCTATACTGGGCGCAATAATACTCCATTTGATATTGTAGTTCGTAATCACTACATAATCACTGAAGTGTAGTTAGTTAACGAGTCGAGTACATAAGAATTACGAATACCTGTACAAATATAAGCGTATTTTGTAGATATTAAAATATGTATCCTTTGGCGGGTAACATAATGCCATTGGTTGCTATTGGGGGATGGAAGAGTATGTAGTATGTAGATAATTGCTCTTTATCAAAAATGAGTTCAACACGTCACTGCGTCGAGACCTGAAACAGTATCTCGCAACGTACCATTCTCGCTAATGGTATCATCATTTTATAAGATTATAATCTTTAATTCGTAGAAACGCCGAGAGCGTAGGCGCTTTTATTCGTGTAGGGGAGTTCGAGTGCTCCTGCCCACTGCGAATTCGTGTTCACGCGGCTCTTTTGATTTTCATAAAAAATTTGAATTTCGTTAGAAAAACAGTTTTCCCAAACTAAGCGTTACTAACTCGCAATAATAAAGCTTACGCATTATTTCCATTCTTGTTCTTCGTGTGATCATAACAACACAACTGTGAACTACCATTCCGCGAAAAAACAATAATATATGTTCACCACCGGTAACCACATTAGCGACCGTTCAGAACCACCGTCCACAAGTTCCACGTTAACTTTACTCACATAACGTCTGTTTCTGTCAAATTTTTTTACCTCCGCAAAAACGTACGTTGCATGCAGACAAAAACGATTACGATTTCAACAACACCGCAAAGTTTAAACTGTCCGACATAAATCGATTTGTCCTCATTTATCGAATCACGGTTTAGTACACGTGCTATGTTTTCTCGTTTGGTCGTGAAAATATAGTACGATGGTGTTAATGATCGTCAACTGGTTGTTGTTTAACTGTCGTGAGGAGCCGATGCGATCATCCCACCCGGACGTTTTGGACGTTCGAGAAATCCGCGATAATTCACCGTACAGCTCCCGAAGTCCGCAGTGGTACAGCCTACGCAGGTCTTTGTCGCGGCGCCACGTCGTAAATCGCTGACGCACCCACGTAATTCGTCATAAGCACGCCCGCAGGATAAAATGCCCGGATAAATTGCCACCCGGGGCAAAATTAAAATTCTAAGGGCCAAAATAATGTGTATCTAAAAATAGATGGGAACAAAATCAAATACCATAGAAATCAGTACTCTGGAGAATTTATAAATTTAAGCGATACGCGCAGTCATGTATAAACATTGTAAACCAATAAATACGTTCAAGATTATACATTTTAGATTATCTAAAAATATAATACATTTTACTAAACCTCATAGATGAATCTCAATCAAATTATGTTATAATTAATATGCGCGGTATTAAATTAACAATAGTTTTAAAACAAAAATTCTCAGTAGGGGCGATGGACCCTTTGCCTCACACCCCTGCGGGTGCGCATGATTCGTTGTCGTTCATAAAACGAAATCACAACGATCGCGTTACGAAAAAAACGACAAAAAGGACTTGTCCACCGCGTTTTCGCGCATTAAAACGCGTACGTCAGGGACGTCAGGTAGACCATGTACCACGTGTGCTTGCGTTCACGAGTGAACGTCGCTACAAACTTAAAATTCGTGTACGGATATGATGTGGCCACTACGATTTCGCGTCTCGCACGCGTACACGTTTTATTATTTTTTTTTTTACTCACCGCCCGTACAGGATTTACCCCATCACGATTCCGACGAGACTACATTCTGTATGTTGTGCACCACTGTCCCGTCGATTAGAGTGCGAATCTCACACCACGCCGATGACAATATTCTTGTAAACAATATCGCATAAATCGTCGGACTGCCGTAGCGCACGCAATCACACTTGCCGTTCCTTTTAATCGTTAAAAATGTAGAGAAAAAAAAAACAATAACCATGAAAAATCTCTCCAGTACAGGTGTGACCATATTTTATTGAGATAATTGGTCCTTGGTCAATCGCTGAGTTCTCGATAACGCGTACGTGTAGGCCGAACGTTATGAGCCATAAAAACACAGTCACGGATCATCTTCAAACCGTTCCCCGTCATAATCATCACCGATGTTGTTCAATCAATACGTATATTGGCTTTCAACTCCACTGCCCGCGGCCAACTAATAATAGCTCGCGTTGGTATTTTTTCCGCGCCAATATTCGCTTCGCGGACGACCGTTCGAAACAATGCGGAACGGAACTAGTGTTGCTGCTATACCCCGGAGTGGTTCCAGAGCCTTGGTTAGGGAAGGGGGGTCGAGTTTTAAGAAATCTTATAAAAAAAAGAAAACAACAATTTTTACAAAACAAATTCAAGTCGTCTATTTTTAAAATTGGCAGAAATATCAATAATATGATCTATTTGATCTAGACATATCTACTTTATGATATACATTAATTAGACATAATGCTGATAGTTTATCTTCAGTCATCCTTGATCGAAGCAAGGTTTTTAGTCTCCGAAGTATGGAGAAACTCCTTTCAAATGTCATACCTTTATGGCTTTATCTACATACTCGTGCGTATCGTATGATAGTACATATTATAATATGCATTTTTTGTTAACAATATAAATTTTTTTATAAATACGTTGCGAACTTGGGGGCATGGCAACGGCCCATAGGGCTCCCCCTGGGGCCGCCTCTGGCTATACCGTACAATATTGTTGTTGCGCCTATAATATTACTGTCGCACAGTAACGAAAAGCCCGACTGTACGTCGAACGATTCGTTCTCGACACGTTTTCGTGTGGTTATACTCGTGTTGACGGCATTCGTTTCGGTTTTTTTTCTAGGGGTCAGTTCGCCTCGGTTAGACGGTGCACTTCGATCGAGACGGGTGAAGTGTTTGCCGCCAAGTTCTCCAACCGCACGAGATTCGGCGAGGACTGCAGTCCCGACATCCACCACGAAATAGCCCTGTTGTCGCTGTGCTCGCCGTCGCCGCGGATCACCAAGTTGCACGACGTGTTTCAAACGCCCAAACAGTTGATCATCGTCATGGAATAGTACGGACAAGACGTTTATAATTATGCACGCTGCGCTGTTTCTCCCGATGCCCAGGGCTGGATTAAGGGAGGGGGCTGTCGTTGAAAGAGGCCACGATGTGTCTTATAATCATTGTCAACGAGCTGTGACCGTACAACAATATACGAAAATACTATAATTAATTTAATCAACGTTAAACGTTTTTTTGTTTGTTTTTACAAACTACTAGATCTGTTTTGGGTAAAAGGGCCTCACCAAAATCAATGCCCCCCTCCCCTCATATCATGATCATAATCCTGCCCCGCCGACGCTGGACACGTGCACGTGCACGCGTCCACAACGTATTCATACAACATGGATTTACGTAACGATTTGCAATTTTGTGTTGTTTGTTTTTGTTTCCAGCGCTCCTGGAGGCGATCTACAGAAAGTCATCGACGACGATAACGTGCCTTTTGAGGCCGACGCGGTCAAGTTCATACATCACGTGGTCGAAGGCTTGGCGTACATGCACCAGCGAAAAATCGCTCACCTAGACATTAAAGTAAGTGTACGGCGCGCGACGACAACCATACCATATGCATATCAAGGTTTATCTTTTTTCGGAAATCTCATAAAAAATAAAAAAAAAAAATTAAAAAAAATCCCCATTGACATTGGCGACATTCGTGTGTTTCTTGGAACGATTCCGGTCCAAATGCGGTGTATATGTAAATAATATAAACGTGTGTGTGTGTGCGTGCATACACGATATTTAAAATCCATTAGACACACCACCCACGAACAAATAACCGCAAACAGACATCACGATCCAGACCCTATACAGATCCGTATCGATATAGCCCTGGATCAAGGTCCGATCCGGCAGAAAATTCATAATAACAATATATCGTCCGTTTAATATCGAATTAACATTATACGCCGTTTTGTATCCATTGTTAAGGTCGACTATGTATGCTAATGGACGACGTACAATATAATTCGTGACCGACTGCAAGATAACTAAACACATTGTCGACAAGCCGCGCACATCAATATACGATATAATAATTACTAATATATGCGTTGCGTACCGAATAACGTTATAACCGTTTGGTTCGTTGAAACGTGCGTATCATAATCGTCAATATGTTTGCAGCCGCAAAACCTGGTCCTGATGGGCGCGTTCCCTACGTGCGACGTGAAACTCTGTGACTTCGAAATATCAAGAGTGATCCTGGAGGGTACCGAAATCCGAGAAATTCTCGGCACGCCAGATTACGTGGGTGAGTAAATCCGCTTCGAACGGAATAGAATAACCGAAGGGCGTAACACATTTCTACTAAAAGTAGACCTTTTCCTTTTCCACCAATACCCGTTTCCACCAAAAGTGTATCTTTCCCTTTTCCACTAATATTCGTTTCCACTAAATAAGATAAAATACCTATACTTTTCATGAGTTTTTCGGATTAATGAAAATATATATATATATATATACACACACAATATAATCAATGTATATTGTACATTTATTGTATTTAATTGTATGTTAAACCGTTATCGTACTTATGCATGTACTTTTATGTCTATAAACCATTATAATAACTAAATAATCAAATACTTTATGAACAAGTGAAAAGATGGCACAGTTTAAATAGTGAATTACAACCGCGTGTGTGTTAAAATAAAACGTAAATTTTAAAATATTTTTATAATTCTATGATGGCTAAAGTTATTGAAAGTAAACGTGGAAATAAAACACTAGTACTAAACAACTTTAAATTTTTTATTGGATCAGTTCACAAATATCAACTAATTATATATAGATATTGTTACAATTTACATAACTAAGGTATCGTATATCATAATATATTATTTTTTCATCTTTTTATATCTGATTATTTTTTTTAAATAAAATTTAACATTTTCCAACCTATATAGTATATATTATATAATGCCTTTACATTTATTGAATTAATAGTATATGTTAAATAAAGTTATTTCTGTGCTATAGCTTTTAATTTAAGCGTAGTATACAATTGTTTTGGTAAAAACGTGGTCAATATCTCATTTGGTGGAAATGGATATTGGTGGAAAAGGGAATGACACGCTTTTGGTAGAAACGAGCATCACCCTAACCGAATACACCCGGGATTTTCGGTGTTTACTCTGAAAAAAGTAAAAATCAGAAAGCGTGCGTCATTGTACAGATTATTACGCGTAACGGTTTTGCAGTTGTTATGTATCATCTTAAATCCCGGGGCTATATAATACAAATAGGTACTCGTATACGCACGTATCAATTATTATTAAACTCTACTGTTGTGTTTACAGCTCCTGAGATACTTCACTACGAACCGATCACGTTGGCCGCAGACATGTGGTGAGCAAAAGATTTTTTTTAATTAAGATTAAAAATGCATTATGATGAATGTATTATTTTCACGGCCGGGCGATCGGATCTCTTGTTCTGCGGGCATTATGCTCGGAAAATACAATATTGTTCTTTTTACAGAAAATCTATTAATCGCATAATTAATAATTAGAGACAAGATTATTTGATATGGGTAATGTGTCCTTAATTTGTTGGGTTATTACTTGTTATTACTTAGTTATTACTTGAATCATATATTAGCTACAAGATAGTCTAGAACAGTGGTTCTCAACCGGTGTGTCGCGGCACAGTAGTGTGCCGCGAGATCAACTAGGTATGCCGTGAAAAATGTCTGATATTTGAAAATGCCGATTGATGATACTGTGACAGCTAAACGTCAATTAATTGTGCAGATAAGACGATACATATATACAAACTTTACGGTTCTAACCCAACTGGATATCTTAGCGCGTAGCCAAAGTATTTGTTGTTGTCAAGTGCATGAATGTGCTACGGAAACTTGTGATGTATAATGTACCGTGAATAAAAAAAGGTTGAGAACCACTGGTCTAGAAAATGTATAGATTCGTTCCCTAGATCAATGGGGGCTCCCTGCTTGCTTCAAATCCGCCACTAGTGACGCGACGAATGATCCCGATCGATCACCACTGACGTTGATAATGTATAAAACAACTGTTTCGCGCGTGCTCCCGCAGGTCGCTGGGCGTAACCACGTACGCCTTGTTGACGGGGTTCAGCCCGTTCGGCGGAGACACGGACCAGGAGACGTTCTGCAACATATCGAATGCGGACATCGACTTCCCGGACGAGCTGTTCGAAGACGTGTCCGCGGAAGCGGTGGACTTTATCCGCAAACTGTTGGTCAAGGACCCCAGGGAGAGGCTCACGGCCAAGGAGTGTCTGAAACATCCGTGGCTGGCCAACCTGCGCAAGTCGTCGACCGCTGGTAGCGGTGCGGGTACGACGCAACACCAACAACAGCAGCAACAGCAATTTCAGCCGCCGACGGCCACCAAACGGTCCGGGTGCAACACGTGCGCGGCCGGAACCGGCGGACAGTCGGTCACGAAACGTGGTGGTCTGCAGCAGTCGTATCTGTCCAAGTCGCGGGAAGCGCTGTTCGAGCGAATCGTGTCCAAGCACATGCGCCAGAAGAACGACTCGTCGAAACGGTCGTCGCTGATGCTCGAGTCGCAGTACGCGTCCAGCCGCATGTGCGAGAGCCACGCGTCGCTGGTGTCCCGGTCCCGGTGCGGCGCCCGGACGTTCAGCAAGTCCAAGGAGAAGCTGTACGGGCTGAAGAGCCTGTCCCGGTCCCAGGATGTGTTGGACATGTGCAAGAGCATCAAGGACCTGAACGAGGTGGACAAGATGGCCACGGTCGGCAGCCTGCTGATGAGCCTCACCGGCGTGTCCACGTTGCCCAACTCGCTGTGCTCTTCCACCGCCAACATATCCGTGTCCCAAGGCCACATGTCCGACGGGTCCACCGCGTTCGAGGACGACAAAGAGAACGTGGCGAGCAACGGCGACCGGGACGCGACCTGCGCCGCCACTGCAGCCGCCGAAGACAATATTACCGATATGGACGTCACCACCGCCAACAGCGATGCGGACACCGCGAGTACCACGACCGCGGTCTCTCCGACGGACGCATCGCGGTCCGGGTCACCGGCCGGTAGCAGTGCTAGCAGCGTAGAACACTTTTACCATTCCGACGAGGAGCCCAGGTAAACCCGTTGGCCGGCAGGGATATGCTCGGCAGACGTGACGGCAACGTACTCGGATCGGTTGGCGTTTTTGAGAAAAAATAACAAAACAATACGATTTTCCGAAATGCTAGTCTTTTATGATCTCGAAAAAAAAAATATCGAAATTCAAATTCCGACGACGTTAACAAAATACACGCTTGAACTGTAACGATTCTTGAAAATAGAAACAACAACCGTTATCACACGTTTTTAGTGAACACCCCGCGATTGAGAACTTTCGCGCGCACCTCGCTTGCGTACTGTTGTGTGTAGTATCAATACCATACGTTCATTACTCGGGTCTAGCGGTGATGTGATTGTACGCGTTATTTTGCACTGTAGGAACACGCGCGACGAAAAAACAAACTTCATCATTAATCTTCAATCCTTTTTTTAATTTATTCGTTTTCGAAAAAAATAAAAATATTCAAATCACATATTAATAACAATATACGTATTGTAATATTGTGCACGTGGTTAGTTAAAAGCGATACCGTGATGAAAACGCGGTTCGCGAGTGATCATATTCGTTTCGGATGCGGTGCCTCCTACGAGGGCACGCATAAATTAACTATAGGAAATCCACTCCATTAACGTCCCACTGGTCGACTTCATCAACGCGTCGTCGCGACCAATAGCCGTGTGCACACTTGTTTGAGCCGGTTGCCGTTCGCACTGCCGTTCCATTATTATAATAATCGTATATTATAATATTATAAATAACCTCCCGATCTTCGTCACCTGTTAAACGTTTTATTCTCTCTCTCTCTCTCTCTTACTCTTTCTCATTCTCTTTTTCGTCCTGCGCGCGCCCGCCGTGTGGTCCGTTCGGTGTGGGCGTAATAACGCGTTCAAATCCTTCCGACGAGTTACTAGTTTCGCAAATTATTAATATTATAATAATATTTAGATTTTTAATGGTGGTTTTTTTTTTTTTGGCTCACCGAAAACGCGATTTATACATGCCTGAGAGATTACAACTCACGCGTTGATCAAAGAAAAAAAAGTAATAATTACGTATTCCCTCGACGAATATTATGAATACACATAAATGCTTAAGTAAAATTTTTATTTTTTGTTTAAGTAGTAATAACAACCAAAATTACTGTAAATTTTTTAGCTCCGACGATTTGTTTTTCGTTCTCAACCCAAGACTGAACAGATAGCTCTGAAACTTTATAAGTTCGTCGATTTCGTATTTGATTTATGATCATTGGGCGAAACCAATTTATTTTTAAACTATATAACATTATATCATAACGGCGAATAGATCGCCGACCGACACGTTATCTTACTTTCTAAAGCTAACACTGAACTTACTGTGTAAATTGAACTGCGCGTTTTAATTAAAACATTTTTAACGTCCCACGAGAAATGTGTCCATGTGTGTGTGTGGTTTGTTTTTCGATTAGTCGTATGAGTTGTAATTCACTATTCAAACGATACATTTTTTTACACGATCTACGTTAGATGAAAATGTCAAGGTCCTAGAAAAAAAATCAGATTTTACTTCTTATGTTGAAAAGTATACAAACAGTGAAACCACCTGATCGATTTGATATTAGTTTGTTTAAAATCGTTTTTTTTTCGACTAATTTACGATGAAAAGTATTTTACCTCTAATAAACCAATCCTTTATAGATTAAAACGACGGAAAATCCTGAACAAATTATCAATGGGAATACAATGTTAATTTACCATGAATATGCGAGTTACTTTCATTTTAAAAAGTTCGAATAGATTTAACCGTTAACCTAAATATATATATATATTTATATTGGTCAAGTTTTACCGAGTCCAAGTAGTTTAATACCATTTATTATGAATACTTTATTTTGCAATTTAAATTTGACTCATATTAAATTATATACTTAATTGATCAAGTTTCCTAGTTTCCGCGTATTGATCAAAATTTTTTAACATTTATTTAAGTATTTTACAGTTTTAAGACATATGAAAATTATTATGTGATCCGTAGATGGTTTGAAACGTAAAAAAGTCGGTAAATTTACCATCGACGAGAAATCACAATTAATTTTTTATAAAAAAAAAAAAAAGAGCTATTGTAAACCATTTTGGTTTATATTTCGAGGACTGAAAACTATCACAAATCCGCTCCATTTCAGTTTTGTCTAGAATTGGAGAATCAACATTCTTTTATTACATTTTAATAGGTTTTATTTTCTCATTCTTTACGATCTTCAAACGGATGCGCAATGTTATCGTCAGAATACATTTCTGTTTACTTGTCGTAAAACGATAGCGTTCGTTCATGTTAACGCGTTGAAAAGAATTTATATGGAAAAACTTTTACGGGACGCCTTGTCGTGAAAAAAAAAAAGAAACCATATCAAACAAAGCCGTAGGAATAATGCTAGGAACGTCGTTTAACGAAACAAATTCAACCCACTCGAGAACAAAACTAAAGGAAGATTTCGCGCAAACGTCTGTACCGACTCACGTTTGTCCGTGCGCTGCCAGCCCCGCATGTAGTACCGACCCCTCGAAGTCCGATGACGACGCAAATTGCTGTAGAAAATAAAATAAAAATACTTAATCGATCCGTACCCTGCGCAGGTTCAGCGTGGCCCAGCTGGTCAAAGCGTTTGACACGCACCAGGAGGCGGTGACCAAACGGTCGCTGAAGGTGACCATGGACCCGGTGGCCAAGCTGAAGAGCGCGGCGGAAGAGTCGTCGATCAGCGCTGAGTTCCCGACAGGGCCGAACGCCCTGCGGCTATTCATACCCAACATTGACATACGGGGTGGAGCGGTCGCGAAGAGGACGCGCGGCGAAGCAGGAGGCCGGGACGACGAAAGCACTCGCAGTCCGAACTCGGATGATCGTCGCAAACGATCAAACGTAAACGACCGCTGCGACGCGGAAAAAAACTGACGATCACCACTGGTGCAGAATGTGTATTTATTTTAACATTAAAATTTATTTTTTTTTTTTAATTCTTGTGTAAAAAATGATTCTCTATTTTTTCTATACATATAGTTCCGGTTTATTATGTTATATTATCGCCTATATAAGTACATACATATGTATAAGAATGTCTCGTCGTGATTATGTTTTTTATTATATCGTGCGCGCAATATCATTGTATTATTATTATTATTATTATTATTATTATTATTATTATTATTATTATCATAATTTATATTGTTGTTGTTGCGTACGCGCGTTCGAACGTTTTTGACCGTATGCACGAACCATGTGCGCCGCATTTTAGCCGCTTCACTTGTTAATATTAATCGTTACGTTAGTATCAATGTCGAGACGCGTTTCTACTCGTATTACATCACACGCGTGACGAACGCGTAAAATAAATGTACATCATTCCGTCGTCCATCCAAGACGTTTTTGTTTTTTGATCCCCCCCCCTCGTCTTTCTCCTAAAACATAATAAACATAAGAATGAATCCAAGAGGCAGCCGTTACATTAAGTCCCATTAAACGTATGCTTAAACGAACGTATAGATCAACGCAGCAGCTGGAACCTTAGTGTTAAGTTTAGAAGAAATCATTTTCATAATTTCTACTCCGTACCCTGTCAAACGATACGAAAGTAACAGCTATTTTCGTTGGCCTTTAACCAATTAGATCTGCACCACTTGTGGTAACGGAATGCATTTTTGATAGTTGAAATTTTCACATGGTATACGGTTGACTTATTTCGCTGCAACAGCGCAGACTCTTCATGGCATCTAGCCGTCCAGACGGTCGTTAAATAGTCCCGGATAGTTTGGCTAAAATATCTGCCGACCGTAGTCCACTGTTACGACAGCTCATAATGCGCATTGTCGATTTATGTATTTAATGATCTACGATCAAACACAGGTTTAGCAGATGGCCAGTGGCACTCACAGCAGGAGGGATCGACTGGCGCCAACTGGCGGCCCGAAGATTCCGTACGATGTGCAATAGCGTTTCAGGATGTTTTCATAAGGAATATTGTGGCTCAGTCGCTAACTGTTATATGGTTAGCCTTAAACAATTCATTCCGATTTGTCGATTCGATTAAGGGCTTAACGAAAAAACTTCATTTCAAAAATAGCACAGCGAGTATTGAAAAAATTTGAGAACCACTGTACATATATACATTGTACATTGTATAGGTTTTAATCATTTTTGAAAGCTAAAAAAAGTGCATATTCTAAATCATGCCGACTATATTTTAAGTACTGGACTTACATCACTGTAGTCAATAAATTACCGTGGCGCCGAATGTTGTTGCATCCGTTTAGTTAGTAACTCCTAGGTAATCGAATTGTAAAAAGATAAATGCACGCATGTCCAGTCCGAAGTCAAGTTTTTATTAATAATCGATTTTTCTGTAATATTCTATCATCTTTATGTTTATGGATTATAAAATGAGTACCCATTATGCAATCAGCGCTCCGATCATATATTTGCTGAAGATATTTATAATTATTATTGTATGTTTTCTTTTCATTGTATTCTACAGTCTTCTGTCTATTATTTTTTGAGTATTTGGCTGTAAATATTTAACAATATATAATTATTTTTTTCATCGATTCGTCGAAGTTTAGCACGTCAGTTTTATTGATTTGAATAATTTAATGATTTAACTATAATTAAATAACTTTAAAAAATGTTTTAAAAATCTTTAAAAATGTTCATTGTTGAACTTTATACTAGTATACTTTATTTAACAGAATTTATATTTTTAGTCTGAGCAGCTCTCGTCACTAAAACTTAATTATTTTAGTTAAAAATGTATTATATAAAAAATGGTGAAAAATGTTTTTGCCTTTAATTGCCTATTTATAAATTATACCTTTTTTTAAGTTGTTGATGTTTTGTATATCTGAATTATTATAAAATTTTTCGGAATCTTTTTGATTATAATATATTATTATATAATATATTTATATATTATGTAAACAATTGAAGATGACAGTAGTTCAAAAATTAAAAATGTACAAAATAACTTAAATAAGATATTTGGATGTGAAAATTATTCTGACGATAACTTGGATTCTATTAAACAAGTCATATATCGTATGTATTAGCAGCGAAATATTTAAACGATGGAAAAACTGTAATAGGGCTAAGGCAATTTTTTATAAAAAATAATACTGAATCAGTAGCGTACGCAGAATTTTACAATGGGGGGGGGGGGCTTGAAAATAAATAATAACTCAGTGATAATAGGTGCATTTGTTTAAAAAATAAAATAGTTGCTTTTATCTCTTATTTAAATTAAGCATTAAATAAACAAAAAAAATATGTATGAAAAAAAAAATAATAAAAATATTGGGCAATAAAATACATTTTTATTTAGTCCTGTCTAATAATTGTAGTCGTTTAGGTGATGTTTTTGAAAATTGTTGTACAACTTCCAATTCGGTCAGATTTTCTTTTTATTGATATTTGCTTAAGCTAATCCATTCAGACGTTCCTCTGTCATGATTAATCTTTGGAATATTGGCTAGATTAACGATGTTTGGATTGTTGCTAACAATTGTTTAGTTGTAATCATAGATTATAAATACCTATCTATGAACTATGGGCGTAATCACAGACTAAGATATATTTAATATTCATTAATATCTTAGTTCGTGGTTCTAATATAATGATAAATACACGCTTTGAGATACTATATTAAATCGTTTGTAGATTTAAAAACTAAAATAATAATACGGTTATGGAGGGGGCTTCAGCCCGTTAGCCCCCCTCCCCCCTGCTAACGCCACTGTACTGAATGGCTAAATAAACCAATTTACAAAGTATTAGAATGTACCACTACTAATAATGATGAATTATCTTCTACGTTTAAAGAAGGGGTATTCTCCCAGAAATACCTTTTGAGTTGTGTTGTAAAAGATCAAACCGTAGAAAAACGGAAGTTGTACGAACACAAATTTCTAAATACGAATCGACGTATGTTATTTCTATGACTTTACGATTATCGGGAGAAAGGACGCTGCAAAACTTTTAAAAGAATCTACTAATACTACTCCTACTAGGACATCAAATATTCAGTGAATACACAATTGGAACTGCTAAATTGTTAGTAAAAAAATATACTTGGTATTATATGCCATCTTCTGTACGTGATATATTATTACATGTATCATATGTCATTTCTGCTGCTTATTTCATATTGACCAAATATCCGTTCGAAGAAGCACATGAGGTTCGCATTAAATATCTTAAAAATATACGAAAAAAATATACTAGAAAATGTTCTAGGGTTAAAAAAAATAAGGACGTGTAACATGGACTATTAGTAGTGTCATCTGATCTGCTCACTTCTAGTCTTAGAAAATTACCGCTCAAAAAATTTAATTTTCAACAGAAGTATTACAACTACTGACTGCAGTTGAACCAATAACACACGATTTGGTAGAAAAAAAAATAGTTCAACTGACGAAAATTAATAAAAACTATGGTTATTGTTATATTTTGTATATCTTAATATTAGCTATTAATAATTTTAAATGTGTTATGTCATATTGTAATTTTTATTTTTTTCACTCAAAAACGTTATTCTCTAACAATTTTATAATAGGTGTTTTCACCCTAAAATTAATTAAAGGACATTATCGTTGGTTTTCCGTAAACATGTTTTTACTACATATAATAACCAGTGTAGCGTCCTTTAAATGAAAATTTGCCTTTTTTATTGTAAGAATTAATCAGCATTTAACCTTCAATAAATTATACATTTTCAAAAATCAGGACACATACAGGACACAAACACTGTATAGTAAAAAATATCATTAAAATTAATAAAAGTATGTATAAAGTATAATAGACCACTTTAAATTTCAATTTGTGTATGCTTTTAATTAACAAAAAAAAAAAAATTTAGTAATTAAATAGATACAAAACTGTATGGTTTTGGCTAACTATCATAGACGCAATTTCAACAAAAAAAAACTGAGGGTGCTTAAGCTCTGTATTTATTGGGTATTTAATTTATATTAAAACTATAAGAAATTATGAGCCGATTTTTAAATAAATACAAATAAAGGTTCCGGTGGGGTTCCAGTTTTAAAATTATTTAAATTAGGGTCTCGACCCTCGAGGAACTCGACAAAATGTGAATTGACGTTTGTCGAGTAACATTGTTTTCATTTATATTTTATTACAGTTTTATACTCTAAAAGTTAAATGTCTGATGACAAAAATAAGTTTTTGAAACATAAACACGAACATTTTTGAGGGTGCTAATTGTAAAATAGGGGTTGTTAATACCCTCTAAGCCCCCCATTTGCGCCTATGCCAACTGTTTTCATGTTCTAGCACACTGTGGGTCACCAGCAGATGCACTGCGGAACAATTATTGTCCATGATAAAAAGAATAAATACTCGTACGGACTGGCTCGAATGAATTTCAATCGACTGGAAATCGGTTTGCCACAGTTATACGTGCCTAACAACCTCATCCCATCGTATTGTTTATTATACAATTTTACATTCATTAATAAGAATCGTCACAATATTGACAAAAAAACCAATAACTTATTCTCTTTCGTTAAAAATTGAATTGTAATAAATCTCATGAAAGCAAACGTTAATCCCGAGGCAGGTCTGTGCACATCGGAACCAGATGTCGCTGTTGCCAACGACAGAAACTGCGAGAAGATGAAAGACTCGCAGCCGAACCAAAATCCTCCGGAGGTCGTTAGCAGTAGCAGCAGCAAGACTCTGTACGCTGCAGGTAATGTGTCAAACTGGATATGTTAAGCTCGCGAATGAACTATTAAACGTTACTAACGAACTATTCGCTTCGATGAACAATTCTTAACTGTTTCGGTACATGTAACCTAACAGTTCATGATTCAGAAAATTAATTGCGAGTACTGCGTTCACTGTGAACTCTGTATTACGTCTTTATTATTTACTATTCAGTGTGCACGATGATCCCTCTTCGCGTCACCGCGCTGTTTTGGGTATCTCGATGTTACTGCAACGGTTATACGTTATCCAATTGTTTCTGTTCAGTGACCGAAAATCATAGCATGTCAATCAGTATGGACTCGGCCGCTTCTACGGGTACTGTCGACTGGTCCGCGACTGCCTATGGCTGGTGGAACGTCTTGGTCCAAGGGATTCGCAAACAACTGTCTTCGGCCCAGTACAGTGTGGTGCACAACGGGACGCTATACGATCTGAACAAGATTAAAAGTATTTAACGATGGTGCACGACCCCGAGTATTCTCCAGGGCCTGGTTTTGTGGGGGGAGGGGGTCAGCTATCCGGCAATATTTCGACGGCGTGAACAAAAGTTTAGACATTTTCTAACGCATTTATATCTAAGTGTGCATTATAATTTATAACCATCAGATTACTATATTTGATATTAATAGTTTCAAATAATTTATTCGTACACAACCAAGCAATCAGTACATATATATCAGTGTTTGTTCAGTTTCTTATAAAGGAATTCGTTCCGTTCCTCGTGCTTTTATAAAAAAAAAGGAATTTGTTCCATTCCTTGTTTTTCTTGTTTTCCTTTGAAAAATGAATGAGTTCCTTTTTAGTTCCAAACAGTGGTGCAGGAAGATTCGCTAGCGCCCCTGACTGGCAAACTTAGAAAAAAACGCTTTTTAAACAATTAAAATTTGATATCATGATATTTTTTTTAACCTTTAATTTTATTAATATTTTTAAGTATACAATTTATACATATAAGTTATTACAGAATTAATTTTAAAATTTTAAAATTTTCAATTCTCGCTTTATAACTAGCAAATTCATCGATTATTTCTTTATATGAAATTTTTTATTTAAATGTCCTTGCGCTATTTTCATAATTTCATCATTAAATTCACACTCAGTGTGTACAAATAGATAACATGAACGTATTTCAAAGAGTACAATGAAAACATTTTGATTTGATTGTAGGATAAAAATGCGACTTTCGCACAATGTGGTGTTCCTTTGTAATTCGCGCCACTGGCGTAGGCACAGTTCGCCATACCCTTGCTACGCCACTGGTTTCAAATAAAATAAAAATTCTTATTTAATCGTCAACGTTTTTTATCATATACTAGCTGAACCCGTGCACTTCCAAGCCCGTTAAAAATCCTATCTCTTTTATGTCTCAAACTGTGTGTTAAATTGTTGAATATCACCAGACAATAAAATGAGTGCACCACCGAAGAGCTCTTGATTTACTCGTATATCTCTTAGTTTATGATCAAGTCCTTCCAACGCTTTTTCGTGCGCCATAGTACAATCACCATGTAATAATCTTACATGATTGAAGTACTTTACCAGTTCAGGATAGCTCGTATCGGCATTTTCTTTCGTGCTTGAGGCGTAGAACTACCGATCGATATTTTTTCGGAAGGCATAACTGCTTATAAATGGCGTTATTATAACAATAAAAAACAAAAAACACAAAATATCAATGAAAACTTTCAATACCATAGACGCAAGTGTATTGGAAACAAATAATAAAAAATAATCATAACAAATTCAGGGATAATAATTTCTTTCGCACTAATTAGTATTATTGTTGAAACTAATAGCAATCATCTGAGCATCTCCCGGGGTCGGGTCTATCATTTTTAACTTAGCCTATCTTCTGCTTATAGGTCTAATATATCTCTGTACCAAATTTCGTCGCAATCGGTCCAGCCGTTTAGGAACGCATAAAAAACAAACAGAGAGAAATTTATTTATACATCTATCTATATACACATATATATATTATAATTACTTAATTTTTTAATTATACATTTACGTACAAATATTTATTATAAATAGTTAAATATTAGTTAGGTTACCAAGCCCCAACCAGCATCGTAAATGATTTTATTGATCATTGTTCGTTGTACACGACAACAATTTATATTTGTTTTTATATATTCATTTCTACAATATATATTATAACTAAAAATATATTAATAAAAAGACAAATGACTTTTTTGTAAATGATATACGAATAATATTAAAGTCGATAGCCGAATACTCGATAACGATTACTAAATTAACAATAAACACGATAAGAAAAAATATATTTAAATTTAAATTAGGTATATGTATAAACTTGAACTCGAAAGGACCAAAAAATGTTCCTTTTTCCACGAAAAAAAGAACCTGTTCATATCCTCGTGATTTTTTTTTATAAAAAGGAATTCGTTCAATGTGCCATTCTTTAAAAAGGAATTCGTTCCAGGAATCCCTTCCTTTTGGAACTCGTTCCTTCCAAACACTGATATGTATTTACCATGACCGCACGTAAATATTATTGACTGTGGACAACTGTATAGTATAGTAACTTGTAAACTGTACTCGACATTGCTTTCGTTCATGTTTGTACAGCTAACAAGTTTGTTCCGAAAACCAATTACTGCATATTGGCACAATACTGCCTGGCGTTGAGGGAAACATACGATGGAAAGCCGACGTTTTCACAGGGTTTGTAAACAATCATATTTAATAATATTTTTTAATAATATTTTGAGTACACTATCGACTAAAAATAATCAAAAAATATAAGTAGGTTTTATTATGAACAGACAAGGGTTTAACTGCCAAAGGTTTTTTTTTATCAAATTTGTTCAACAGACCATGAGACCCAAATTTGGATCTCACATAAACTGCCGTAAACATTTTTGAGATCTCATTTATATTTGATTTGAACTGTCAAGATCTCGAATCGGGTCTCGTTTAACATGGTGATAAAAGCGGAATTATATTCTACTGTATTTGTAGTCTTGTTTGTCAGTTTTAGCCAGAAATGACTTCTATTTGTTGATTTATTATGGTTTTTCTTTTAAAATTACCTATAATATCATTTAAATTGATTTAATTATAACTTTTATAACGATAATTAGTGGTACAAAAGTGTACAGAACTTTCTCACGGAATTGATAAAATTCCCTTCATTATTGTTATCATAATGAATGATAAAATATAAATATATATCTGTATTCTGTGAGTTGTAACAATGTTTATTTGCATTTACATGCGTTTGATTTACTTATTTTACATTAGAACTTTATAACTACAACTTCATGGAACCTTGTTATAAAATTATATTACATACGATATAATAAATTATATTTATTTACAATGTATAATGTTATGGTATGTAGATTTTATGATAAATTGAGGGGTCGATTTGGATATAAATGTATATGAATTTTAAACTATTTATAATACTGAGTGTCATCCATGCAAGGAGATCCTATTTTGGATCGCATTCGTAAAATATAAAATAACACTTGGGATATCTTAAAAAGGTCTTTAAAAATATACCTACAAATTATGAAATAAATCAAATAATTTTTTTTTGGATTTTCTTTTTTTAAGTAAACATAAAAAAACCCTTGACTGTCAGGAATCACCAGGGTAATATTCAGCATGGGATTTCATGGCAGTTAACCTGTTAAAACGCAATAATATTATTATGATTATTAATATAATCTGATATAACTTTGATCCTGTTGCACTGCGAAGTAATAGGTATTTCCCGTTTGTTCATATTAGGGATGGGAAGTTTCGTTCAGTTGAGTGAACTAGTTCGTTCGTTCATCGTTCACTTAATTGAACAAGTTCAATGAACTAGTTCACTGAACGATACATGGCTTATGTAATGTATATCTCGTAGTTCTGTTTAATTGGGAATGGGAAATTGGGAACTTGAAGTTTCGTTCAGTTAGGTATAGTAGTTCGTTCGTTCATCGTTCACTGAACGATACACGGATTGACTGAATTAGAGGTGTGTCGTTCGCGAACGAACGGGTCGTCGTTCGTCCGATTCTTTTTTTTGTAAGTTGGTTAACCGTTCGTTTTTCAATTCAAGTATTTTTTATACATTACATTAATATAAACAAATAATATTACAATAATAATAAAAATTGGCATAACAATATATATAAATAATAAATATATTAATATTCAATTCAAAATCCGCGCGAATCACTGAATCAGTACCACGATTTAAGATAGTAATATCTTAAATCGTGATCAGTACTACACTCTTGATAAATAAAAATTAACCATCATAAATATTGTAGTGGTATGGTTGCATGGTTGCACTGTTCATAACGATGATAGTTCAAAATTAATTAATCGTTCTCGATTGAACGATTTAATTATTCTTATCGTTCGTTCGTTCATCGTTCGTCCATCAACCAATCGTTCATTGAACTAGGTCGTTCATGAACGACACATCCCTAGTTCATATATTATAGAAACCGACGTTGGAGGAAAATATGTTTATTATTTATTCAGGAACAGAAGAACGTGATACTTGGCTTCGGGAAACATAACTCACGTAAGCCATATAACGTTATTTCAGCCCTTCTCGTATTAAATATATTTTTCTCGGTGTACGAGTTCCGTATAAATTCTGAAAATTCATACAAATAACGTACTAATTATAAATATGTAAAAAAATAGTAAATTTTTGGATGAAGGGGGAAGGATAATGTACGTGAAGAATTGACGTTTATACAGAACATATTCAAACTAAACGTAGAGCACAAACGATTTACGGTATAACGTTACACGGAAGTAGACTTAGAAGAGTAGAAACGCCCTTAGGCTCCCAGTCCATTCTTAGTAGTTATTATAGTATACAGAATATAATGGTTATTGTTTTTCAATTATACCCGACTCTCAAACATTGATATGAAATAATTTAATGTGACGATAGTTTACTCAAATACAAGTATAATTATTGTACAATTTTAAACGAAAAATGGATATAATATATTACAATTCAAAACAGTTAAATACATTAAATTATTTTTTATTCGAACTGTAATATTTATTAGTATCGTAAATTAAAAATGTATATTAGACTGAATGGTAAAATAATAATTTTCAGATGATAAAAGTTATGAAAAACGTGTAGGAAAAAATGTCGAAAGAGTCACCGACGTATGAAATATATCCCGAACAATTAGTTGAAATCTGAACACTGTTTGAATTGTTTATAGTTATAATCCCTCAAAAAACTTTCAAAAAGTAAAAAAAAAAATGCCAAGCTCAAAATTTGAACTTATGTTCTTGCCAAGGCTGGGCAAGTTAACGGTTTTTTTAACTCGTTAAGTTAAATTAAAATACTTTAAAAAAAAGTAAGTTAAGTTAAATTAAAAGTTAACTAATGTATTTTTAATAACTTCGTAAAGTTAAAAATTAATGGATAAAAAAAATTAACCAAGCTAAAATTAACTTAATTAAAAATGTAATTATTTTCGAATCTGTAACCAAAACCAATAAAATTAATGACAAATTAGGAATTTGTGTCAAGCTCATGTGGCCAACCATGTAGTATGCTATTAATATATTAATACTATTT